CTCTCTCTCTCTTTCTCTCTCTCTCTCTCTCTCTCTCTCTCTCTCTCTCTCTCTCTCTAACTCCACTACCCTCCTCGGCGCTGGACTCCTCCAGCACTGTGCCTCATTGCCGATGAGCAGCGTAGCTGCAGTCTCGAAATAGCATAGCAGGGAGTCTCCAAAATAGCGTAGCTGCGAAGTTCCTGAACCAGCATAACGCTGGATTGCTCCTGGTACCTTCTGTGTCCGAGCTGGGCAATGGCCCAGCTTAAGTAGCGCTGGGCCAGGACTGAAAACCCACGGCCTGCGTTCTGGACCGTGCAGATGGAAACTCCGATCCACGGTCCAGATCGCAGGCTTCGAAAACTGGTTCAGTCCTTGGCCTAAAACGGCCTGCCTGGGTCCCTACCGGACGTCCAGGCCCTGTCCAGGATTCAGTTTCCTGGTACCTGGCTTCGAACCGGTCCTGTGCAGACGTACCCGGCCTCAACGTCGGCCTGGGTCCGAACAGGTCAAAATCTTTTCGAAAACAAAAGAAAAGGTCCAAACGTTTTTAGGAGCTCAGCCTCTGGGCCTGAATCTGGCCCTGGTCCTAAAACGTGTACCTGGCCACAAAACGGACAACAGTACACCCGTTAGAAAAACAGCAGCAACTAAATAAAATAAAGACTATAAAAATAATCTAAAGCTGGCGTTTTTCTGATGCAGGCCCGAGTAAAAATGCCATAGGGCCTTCAGGTTGAGGTGACGCGACCTGGGGGCCCTATTCCAACCTTTGGTCCCGTGAGGGGCCCATGTGTAGGCTTTCAGCATGTAACACACTACCTACCTACCACTAGTCCTACCTATAGGCATACGGGGAAACCCGTAGCATACCAGAGCCGTGTTTTTACGGCCCCTCGAGCATGCATGATACCGGCCAGGGGACGGCTGGTAGCACCAGGGATAAAGCGGACCAATCCCCCGTGCCTCCCCTCAGGCCCCGCCCCTACGAACATAGCAGACTCTGCTTGATGCCGATCGGGGAATCCAGTGGTGTATCTCTTGGGTAGTAGGTGCCAAGTAAGCCCTGAAAGGTACATGAGGCCAATGGGGATTGAACCCATGACCTCCTGAATGCCACTTGCGAGCCTTACCAACTGAGCTAGGCCGCTCTTTCAACTAGAAATATAGTTCTGTATGATATTAATAATATATATATCGTCAAATAGAATATATATATATATATATATATATATACAGGGTTACCTGACCGAACGTTTGGGGGCCCCCGGGCTGGGCCCCGAATGTTCGGGCGTTCGGGGTCCCATTCGGGGGCCAAACACCTCCAGGTTCGGCCCCCGCCAAAAAACATTTCGGGGCCTAAAAATAAGTTTTTTTTTTCTGATTTGTTTTTTCTGAGTTCTCTATGATGTAACCTACATGGCTATAAATTTTGAAGCCATTCTGCTAAGCCAAAAAAAAACATTAAAAATCGTCAAAGATGGGGGTGTCAAAACGTGCTCGCCCACTCACTATTTTGTTTTTTTTTTCACTTTTAATTTTTTGTTTTTACTTTATTTCGGGGCCTAAAAAACATTATTATTTCTTGAAACTTTTTTAATGAGTTATTGATTATGTAAACTACATATCTGCAAATTTTCAGGCCATTTTTCAATGCCAAAAAATAATTAAAAATCGACAA